ATGCTTTATTTTTAGGAATAATACATTTTGCATCACAAATTGATTTTAGAAAAGTTCATTCTAAATTAAATGTATTATTGCTGCTATTATTATTATTATTATTATAGATAAGTATGTAAAATAATAATAATAATTAGATTTATTTTATGTACTTAAAATTAGTTTAATTATTTTGTATAAATATTACATAATCAAAATTATTATTATTATTATTATTATTATAGATAAGCATGTATAATAATAATAATAACTAGTTTTATTTTATACACTTTAAATTTAATTGTTTTGTATTAATATTACATCATCTAAATTATTATTATTATTTATTTATTTTCAAGGCCAACAACTCATATTAATATTCATAAGATGCAATATTGGGATTATTAGATAAGTTGGTTTTATTAAACTCTTTTCAATAATTTTATACTCCACTGTTGATAATCAACTCATTTATTGCAAACAAGCAGTTAATCCAGGAACCAGCAATATTTTTCCTCAATTCAATATAACATTTCTATTTACATTTAGTCATTTAGCAGACGCTTTTATCCAAAGCGACTTACAAATGAGGACAAGGAAGCAATTTACACATATAATGTACTTTTATTTTTGTTTTTTTATTGATGTATTAATTGTATATTTGTAAAAGAAATGTGACCTAAATGAGTTGTAAATTTACACACAACAGAAGGTCGTGTTAAATCTGGTTGAGCTCTGAAACTGTCGGTCACCTTGGTCCAACAATATAAACAGACCCTCCTACTTTCTCTCTCTCTCTCTATCTCTCTCTCTGTCTGTCATCTGTGACGCAACTTACAGTGCTGTGAAAAAGTATTTGCCCCTTACTGATTTCTTATTTCTTTGCATGTTTTTCACACTTACACTTAAATTTTTCCGATCATCAATCAAATGTGAGGTAACACAGATAAACACATCATGCACATTTTAAATAAAGTTTTTTTTTTATTATTTAAAGAAAGAAAACTGCATAGTGTTGTGTGAAAAAAAGTGTTTAAAACTCTTGTTAAAACATAATTTAACTTTGGTTTATCATACTTTAGTTCTGTATCTGTATCACACCCAACCTGATTACTCCCAATGTGTTTGCATTCAAGAAATCATTTAAATAGGACCTGCCTGACAAATTGAAGTAGACTAAAATATCCTCAAAATCTAGAGATCATGCCGAGATCTGAAGTAATTCAAAACAACTGAGAAAGAAAATGATTGAGATTGTTCAGTCTGGAAAAAATTATAAAACATTTTCTAAAGCGTTGGGACTGCAGTAAACCATAGTAAGAGACATTTTCTACAAATGGCAAAAATTGGAAAACCTTCGCCCAAGATTGCAGCAACAACTCATCCAAGAGGTCACAAAAGACCAAAAACAAAATCCAAAGAACTGCGGGACTCACTTGCCTCAGTTAAGATGAGTGTTCATGACTCCCCCATAAGAAAGAGACTGGACAAAAATGTTTTTTATAAGTTCAAACCAAACACACTGCTGAGCAAAAAGAGGAGAAAGGCTTATCTCAGTTTAGCCAGAAAATATCCTAATGATCCCCAAGACCTTAAATAGGCGGTTCAAAAACCCTCCAGTGTGGGGGATTTATTACAATTCTGCAAAACATGAGTGGGCCAGAATTCCCCCAATGCACTGTAGATTAATTGGAAGTTATCGAAAACACTTGATTGCAGTTGTTGCCCAACCATTTGTTAGGTTTAGGGGGCAAACACTTTTTCACATAGGGCTATGCAGTTTTGGATTTTGTTTTCTGTTAATAATAAAAGCCTTGATTTATAAACTGCATGATGTGTTTGGTTGTGTTGATTGGTTAATTTGTTCCATCATTTTCTTTTGCTAATCCAGGTCAAAGCGGCAGCAGAGCAAGCTAAGAAATGTAGGCTGCGTCCGAAATTGCCTCCTACACCAGTATGTATTACATTTTAATTCACTACACTACCATTAAAACAGTGTGTTCTATGTAGTATGATGAGACGTTCTACATCCTCCATTAGTCATTAGCCCCTTTCACATAATGATACCGGTAAATACAACCCGGGCTCATTGTGGAAACGTAGCCCCGCGGACGTTTCTGCGGACCGCGATTTACGTCCCGGGAGGTACGTATTCGA